TTGTCTGTCACTGCTCGATACACTAGCTGTAGACATTTCACAGATAAACTTTGTCAGACTGAAGTTGTTCCCTGTGTTCTTTGTTTGCCAAACGTTCTTACAAGGGAAGCCTCGGCTTTCGCGTGCCAAATGGGACAGCATCTCTGTTCCGTAGACCCTGAAGACAAAGTGGACTGTTGGAACGTCCAGCAGAGGAACCAGCACACACCTGCTGCAGTTCAGGGGAATCCCTGACTGGGCACTACAGCCAGACACACCCCGGACCACAGCTCAGATCAGCATTTGGTGCTGGGTGTTGCATAAGCATCTCTAAGCCTCAATTTCCTTATCTCTACAGAGGGAGTAATAATAGTACCTATTTCACAGGCTGCTGCATTGTGCTAACAGGTAGTGGTAGATGCGATTTAAATCACGACCTTACCAAGGACTCTGGGTGTAGAAGCTGTATGCTGCATGACAGATGTCAGATAACATGAGATGTGGTCTTAGTCCTCAAGCCACAGCTGTGACGTGAAAGTGGCACCGAGGGCTACATTACTAAGTGAAGGTAGCATGTGACGCGAGCGCCTGAGAAATGGAGCTCTCGTGGCAGTTCAAAGGCCAACGAGGCCCAGCCAGGCCAGGGCCGACCATGGCGGAAGAGAGCAGGCGACGCTGGCAATGGTGAGGACTCATCGGGATGCACGGCATGCAGGCACGGGCGCTCCTCTGTCTGGGCCGTGGAACCGAAAGGCGGTGGGAGACAGAGCTTGTTATGGTGAATGACAAAGTAGGGCTTTGGGCTTTGTCTGGAAGAATGGTGGAAGGATCTGTGTGTATTTTGGAGAACTTACTGATGTTGAGAATGTGAGACATAAAGAAAAGAATCAAGGCGGAACCTCAAGCTTGGCTCAAGGCGGTAGGAGGTGGTGGCGCCAAGGCGCCCTGCGCTGGGAATGCAGACTCTCTGAAGGGGAGGCTGGAAGTTACAGAAAGGTTGATGAGAAATAGAGAGCTGAGAAACTCTTGAAAGGAATGAGTCAGGGACAAAGGAGATAAATGCCAAAGTCGGAGGAGGTAAGGGACAAGAAAAACCCTGGGGTAGGCAAACCCCCAAAATCTAAGATGTTATTACGATTTGGCAACTATTGCTTCCTTTGCCATTCACTCCATCCCGCAGGCTTTGCCTGGGAGATCCCTCCGCAGCCTGGCTAGCTTTGCTTGGCTCCTGGCCCAGACGCTAAAACACTCCTGGTCTTACATCCTCTCAGCTCCTGCAGGATTTCAGAGACCCGTACCACTTGGGATTGAAGTTGATTTTGTTTGATCTCCAGTAAAGTGGATCTCCCCACATGCAGCTCAAATCTAGGCTTCGGGGTATAGCTATTGACCAAAGGGGACCAGACTAGAGGAGCAGATGTTGGGTAGCTCTACTACTCAGGGACAGAAGGGAAGATGCTGGCGGCGCTTCTAAGTGTCCCAGTGAAAGTCAGCCACACCCTCACTAATGGGTGACTTGGGGCTGCTTGGTTGAGTGCGTGGCAGGGTGCCAGTCTCTGCTGGCTCAGACCCTGCCCCCGCTACAACTGTAATGGAACCAAACAGCCCAGGAGCTGTACCCAATCAGACTCGATAAAGAGATTAGGCAGCCTGCAGTACCATACCCATTCAGGCAGGAAAGTAAACTCTTATCTTAGAAAGCTCTTCCCTTTTCTAAATAAGGGTTGTCTAACTAATGATTCGGTGAAGGAGAAATCTGATTAATCACAACACTCCATTCTCCAGGGTTTTTATTTACTGTAACCTCTCAGGAGCTTCTAAATGACTTAACGGGTATTAATGCACTTATGGAAATGTGGGGGATTTGAGGGAATTTTTGTTAGTTTGCCTGTTTAAGACAAGGTCTTACATAGAGCCCTGGCTGGCCTGAACTCAGAAATCTGCTTGCCTTGGCCTCCCAAGTGCTGAGAGTAAAGTAAGCCACCATGCTTCACTAATTAAAAAATGCTATCAACAGTTGAAATCCACATGTTATCTGGGTTTGCTTCAAAATAATGAGAATGAGGGCAAGGAGGGTAGAAAGGAAACTGGCCCGGCTGACCACTGCAGACGGTGATGGCCATTAGGATCCCTAACGACATTAGGTGTCCATCACACTATTATCAACGACTGTGTGTGTGTGGGAAGCCTTATCAAAAAGACTTGTTCATGGGCTGGGTGGTGGTGCATGTCTTTAATCCCAGCAACTGGGAGGCAGAGGCAGGCGGATCTCTGTGAGTTCAAGACTGTCCTAATCTACATAGTAAATTCCAGGATAGCCGGAGCTACATAGTGAGATCCTGTCTTGGGAGAGAAAAAAAAAAAAAGGCATGTTCACTAAATGCTAGGTCCTCCACAAAACTATGTTCTGATTTGACCTAAACAACAACAACAACAAAAGCTACCAACACCCAAGCTCAACTGCAGTCTGCAGAAGCGAAAGTCCAAAGAAGCCAAGCACAGGGCCTCAGGTTTGGCTCCGCACTTGGGAGGCCATGGCATGAGAATGTGTGCTGGATGGAGTCCAGCCTGAGCTGGATAGGGAAGCCCTTTCCCAAAGTATCAAGGGTTGGGAATGCAGCTCAGTGGCAGAGCATTTGTCTACCATGCTCAAGGCTGTTTGATCACCAGTGCTGTGGGGAAGAGTTTGCATCAAAATGATATTTAAGTTTATTTTTATGCAAATAACCTAAATTGCTCAAGTTAAGAATTTTTAAAAATCCTGGGATTGAAGAGAAGTTTCAGAGATTAACAGCACTGGCTGCTCTTCTGGAGGACCTGGGTTCGATTCCCAGCAACCACATGGTGACTCACAAGCATCTGTAACTCCAGATCCAGGGCTCCTTGGGCACCAGGCATGTAGGCAGTACATACAAATACACCTACACACATAAAATAGAAACAACTTTTTAAGCATTGATTTATTATTCGGTACGTACGGGTGGTTTTCCTACGTTGATGCACATGCCTGGTGCCCTCAGAGGTTGTGAAGTCACGTGAATGCTGGGTATCAAACCCAGGTCCTCTGCAAGAGCAAACGTTCTTTACTACTGTGCCAACTCTCTAGCTCAAATAATCAATTTTTAAAACTGTTTTAAAATTTCCTATGTAATCATAGTTGATATCCTCTTTAGCCTGGCACTTGTTCTTGCTAACTGCAGACCCCTCCTGGAATTCTTACTCAGAAGTCTTTCTTCTTTCACCGTTTCTGGGAATAGCAGTTGGGGTGGCCAGTGAGTAAGCCAGGACTGAGTTCATCCACAGGTTACCTAGCTCCCTGTGTGCTGTGTGCTTGGTGCCACAAGAAACAAGAGGCAATGAGGCTTGGTTTTAGGGGCCATGAAGCTCATGGGGAAGAAAAACTGAATGATCTTGACCCTTCCGTGTTCTGAGGAAAACAGGGCCAGTTGAATTGGAGGGAGTAGAACTGTTGTTGGTCTCCTGATTAAACTACTTTCAAGGAAAGACCTGGAGGAAAAAAAATGGAGGTAGCTGGAAAGGGAATTAAAATGGAGAAAGGGCTTGGGTGTGGGCAACTTGCCTGGGGGAACCTTGAAGAATAAACATTACCAACTGACACACCGTGTGTGCAGGGAAGGACAAAGAACAGAGACGGGGCTGCAAAGGCAAGCAGGCGTCTGACGGGTGAGATAGGGAGGGCTTGCATTGGGTGTGCAGCCTCACCTGGAAAGCTGCACACAGTGACTTGACCAGACCTGGGTCTCTGCAAGTCCCTCTGTGAGGTGGAGACAGACAGAATAGAGTATACATTGTGTCAGCTAGGAAATGACATAACCAGCACAGTGTTGACAGAGGCTGGAACAAAGCAGATGGACTTGGAATTAAGAAGGTGACCTACAAGTCTGGTATTGAAGGACGAAGGGGAGAAGACAAGGATATCAAGGGCGATGTTTCAGATTTGGGCTCGGCAACTGGCAGAGAAGGAAGCCATTTGTAAGACAGATGACCTTTTAGCTGTGGCCTCCTAAGAGTCCCATGAATTTGTGAACTGTTCAGAGGTACAAACGACTTGAAGTCTGACCACAGCAGGAGCTCAATACACACTGGGCACTGGGCTCTGACCAAACTCCTCAGTCTGCTCCAGTCCCAAGCGCTTTAACTGCCGCTATTGGCTCTCCGGTTCACCCAAACTTGACCTCCTCCAAATTCTGCCTCTTGTAGCATTTTCCAAAACCCCAGAGATGCATAGAGATGGATTCAAAACTTCGAAAAGAGCAGAGAGCTCTCAGTTAGTGCAGTGGAAACCAAGGTCCTTTAAGCTAACAAGCTGTGAACCACTTAACCTTGCTCTGAAGGGACGCCAGTTCTCTTGCTTCGTGCCAAGAATTTTTTTTCTTGGAGGCGTGGCGTTTTGAGAAGATAAGAGTGCCTATTAGCTCAGAGAGTTTCAGGTAAAGAGATTTAGATCTAGGCCGTTACCTCATGAAAAAAGCCAGTAGTTCCCATAGAGGCTGGCTCTTGTTAGCCACTCTGTCCAGGTGTGGAGTCAGGGTGAGGTGACCAACTAGGGAAGATGGTGTGAAGGAAAAGAAAGCTTCCAATTTAGAGAGATGATCCGAACCTTCTTAGCCCTAGACAAAAGGGTATCTCTACTGGTCAACATTTCAGTATTTCTGTCTAGGGTGCTGGGTCAACAGTTAGCAAAGGAAGCTACTGGGACCCTTCTAAAGTGTAGGCCATGTTAACAGTAATGTACATTATGGGCATAGAGCTCCATGAGTTACCAGACCATCGGTGTGAGAGCTTGTAGGTAGCACCCAGCATGTCCAGTGTCCGTCACCAGTTCTCTCTGCATGCAGGCTTCTAGGACTACCATCTTCATGGACACACCTCCAGAATCACTCCATATACCTCCACTCCTTGTTGCAGAGAGCCAGTCAACCAGGACATCACACGGCTCCGATCTCCTTATTTCATCCCTCCCACTGCTCGATGGGCAGCATTGAAAGTCACACAGAACAAGCTTTCCAAAAAAAATAAGTTTATTTATTGTCTTAGATGCAAATATAATTTTAAAACTGCATTGTAGTGTTGGGTACAGCTGGTGGAAACGTGCCTGTCAACAGCAGGGCATCAAGAGGACCAGCTCAGGAGAGCAGTCCCAAGGATGTCTGGTTTAAGTGAAGCCCACCCTAACCCAGGAGTAGCTGCCTCCTTAAAGGAGCCCTACACCATCACCAAAGCACACGACAGACACTCAGCCTGTGCACAGAAGCTGAAACCTCAAGGACTTGAAGGAGAACATGCTGTTTCAGCTGGGGCATTACAGAGCAGGCAAACAAGCTTGCTCTCCCTTTACAGGTGAAGACCCAGGTGACCAGGTACCGGGGGTGGGATACTGGATTCCCCTAGGAGAGACACAGACTAGTTGAGGCCATGAGACCTTTTAACCTGCAGGATGTAAACTAGGAAATGTCAGTGTCTCCCTCCCTTCTGCAATCTCAGTTCTTGAGAATGCCAGATCAGAAATCCCAAAGGTATTCCAAATTCACTATGCCCAGGGTTATAATTGTGGAACCAAAACTGGCAGAAAGATATAGGTGAATTCTGCTAAATAACTGGAAAGGAATCTCACAAAAATAAAATTCCACAAAGTAAGCACACATGCACACACACACAGGCTTGAGCAAGCGCGCGTGCACACACACGTTATCATTCATTATGGAAAGTTCCCTTTTCTTCCCAGAAGGTTGAGTCTGGCAAGCTCTGACAGCAGTCAGATCTATCTAGTGAACAGGGAGGCCGTTCCTCAGAAAGCTGGTAGCCGACCTGTTCTCGCCCACATCTGAAGAGGCACAGGGTGAGGGCTGTTTCCTAAGGCTTCTCTCACACTGCTGGTGTCTCCCACCAGCTGCCCATGGGTCTTAAGATCACAACACCTAGCCGGGCAGGGGGGGGGGCACACGCCTTTAAACCCAGCACTTTCGAGGCAGAGGCAGGTGGATCTCTGTGAATTCAAGGCCAGTCTGGTCTACAGAGTGAGTTTCAGGACAGGCTCCAAAGCTACACAGAGAAATCCTCCCTGGAAAACCAAAAAACAAACAACAAAAATCTCAAAACCTGTTAAGCAGATCTTAGGCAAGGTGTGTGCTGGAGGAACATACTTCACACATGCCTGAGCTTCATGCTCTGCCACTGCAACCTAACTTTCCCTTTCCTTCCAGACATGCGCAGACCCAGAAACAGGTCCTCTGAAACACTACAAAGCATCAAGGGACTGAGCTCAAAGTTGCACTTCTTGGCAACACTGGCACTCCAGGTGACTATTCCTGTTTCACTGACCACACACCTTGCCAGCACACACCCAGGATCTCTCAGAACGACTCAGGTAGTAGGACTGAGAGCCTTGAGGAGCCAGGTTAGAAGGAACAGAAAGGGAGCAGAGCAGTGGTGGCGCACGCCTTTAATCCCAGCACTTGGGAGGCAGTTTGAGGCCAGCCTGGTCTACAAGAGCTAGTTCCAGGACAGGCCTCAAAGCTACAGAGAAACCTTGTCCCGAAAAATCCAAAAAAAAAAAAGAACAGAAAGGGATCTCTGACAGTGTAGAAGGAAGACAAGAGTAAGTGAATGGAGGCGAGGCTGAGCCAAGGCCAGGTGGTCCAGCAGGCAGTCACAGTGCCATCTGCCACTGGACTATACCAGCAAACGGATACCATGTCCTCTAGGAATCTACAGGGATGTCACTCTTCACCAGGGCACAGATCTGAGGACAGATCTCTAAAGTATGTATGTTGGGCGGGGGGAGGGGGGTGGGAGGACGATTAGGAGGTAACAGGTCCTGAGCACACTGACAACATCCAGGGTTCATGGTTGGGTCACATGAGAATCCGTGCTAGCTGATCACTTCCAGCAAGACCCAGTATATCAACACCAAGTTCTGAAGCTGCAGTGTTTCCTTTGTGCTGTGCGAAGCCACTGGAGCATGGCTAGCCTCTCCCGAGGGTGACAACTGGTGCATAACCTTCTGCTAACTTTGAGGAAGCCCTTTAGCCAGAGCTACCCTGCCTCTGCAGGATCCACTCATAATGAAAGAACAGACAGAACATGTGCTGATGGCTTGTGAAGATTTCACAGAAACCCTCGCAGAGATTTCCCAGGTGGCTTTGTGGGTTATCCTTTTAGGCCGATATTCTTAGTCTCCAAAGCGACAACATTCTGAAGTTTCTACCAAGCGAGTGGGGACAGGAATGGGAGTGAAAGAACTGTAAACAAGCCCTGGTCCAAAAGTGTAGCCAGCACCCAGGGAGACCCCAAGCACAGGGGCCTTGGTGTCCAGGACAGAAGTCAAAGCTAGGACCCTCTGATTGGCTGGGTTCATCAGGCAAGATTTCAAAACAAGAAAATCTCTAAGTAGAATCATTCCTGGAGACCTTAAAGCATCATGACCTCATACCACGGTCTAAGTGAGCACCAAGAAAAGGAAAATGGAGTCACTAAAAAAAAAAAATGCACCTAATAAAGTCTACCAGGACACACACACACACACACAGGCATGTACGCATGCGCGTGCACACACACACAGACACACAGGCATGTATGCACACGCGTGCACACACACACAGACACACAGGCATGTATGCATGCACGTGCACACACACACACAGGCATGTATGCACGCGCGTGCACACACACACACACACTCACTCTCCTCTCTCACCCAGTTTTACACAATCTAACAGCCTTAAACGTCTGATGAAACAGGATGAAATTAACTCAGCAAAATGGTGGAGAGGTAGGCAAGAGAAGCAAAAGGCCAATCTTATACCCACAGAGTTTTAAACACAAGGTTACTCCCCAGCAAGGGCAGAGAGAACCTGGAGTCCATGGTGTGGCCCATGTCACGTGGCATGGGAGGAGGAAGGGCTGGGCTTCGAGGCCCTCACAGCAGCGGTTTAGTTTTTCCTTCTACCACAGTGGCCTGCATCTTCTGAAGAATGATTTCACCTTATTTTTGGGAAAGGATGGGGTGCTTGGTGGAAACTCCAAGGCTCAGCCCACGTGCCTTGTGCTCATCCTCCAACCTGTAAACATGCTTTTTGGGGTCAGCTGAGGAGGGCCACCATGCTATTCCCAAACAGGACAGAAATTAGACAATGGAGCAAGCACGTGGTCAGGGGCTCATAGCATCAACAGTGGCACAGCCAGCAGCCCCTACCCTTTCTTTGTTCTCCACCTATTTAGTCCAGGGCAGGCCTCCAGGCATCAGCAGGAGCTTCCGATGAATCAGAACTTCAGGGGACTGCTGGGCTCCCCTCTTCACAGGCAGCGTGGTGAGGAGGGGCGAGGACAGAGTTCAAAAGAAAGCCTGCTGCCTGCTCTAGGTGTCACAGCAGGAGAAAAAAGCACATTCTTCCTGGAGGTGCCCTTGACTGGGCTCCCTGAGAGCTGGAGAGAGTACCTCACCGCAGGCGGCATCTCAGAGGCAGCAAGGAGAAGGATGAGGGTCAAGTGCCCTCTCCCCCAACCTTTCCCTGTCTCCACCAACTGTAACACGCACACTAGGGCACTTGAACCTTCAGACACACGTCACCCTCCAACCTTCACTGGTTCAAATCTGAGCAAGCTCTTTACCATCTAGCCTGGAGACAGCTTCACCGGCTGACTCCTTGGCATCCTGCCTATCCGCTGTTTCTTCCTCCTCACACAAGGTTGGTCAGACTTGTTCAGTAGGATGACATCTTTGGTCTGAGAACCGTCCTGGTTTGGAGCTCCCAGCTAAACCTCAGATAAAATGACCAGGATGACAGCAGCATCATGGAGTGTGACCTTTCGAACGCTAGAACCAAAGGTGACAGTCCCTGGAGTGTACTTGCCTCCTCCATACGGCAGAGCACAAGCGGGGGGGAAACAGGCACAGAAGGCCTCAGCTGGGAGCAAGGCCAAGGCTCCAGGCCAGTCCCTGGCAATGTTGGGAACGTCATGGTGACCGTGATGCCAGGTAGGACTGAGACATAATAGCTATGACACTGCTTGGAGGGTCTCCGAGTGCACTGCATGCCGCTGTCCTGTCCAGTTGGCCTCCAGACCCATTACTCTCTGTGTGTGCTCAGGGGTTGGTGGAGATTTCCCCTTCAATAGGATACACCAGGGAGGAGGCACATTCCTTTTTGCAGAGGTCAGAGAGGTAGCCCAGAGGGTCAGGTGCTGCCCCCCAGGAGATGGAGAGGAAGAAAGTGTGCAGGGTTGCCAGAGGAGCACAAGTGGATAATGATGTGGCGGGGCCAAGTCTCTAAGTCTCAAGAAAGGAGTCCTGAGGACCTGGGCGATCCCACCTGCAGGACTAGGCTTTGTCTCTTGTCTTGCACTTGCTAGCCCTGGACCCCAGTAGGCCACCAGGGGGGCAGGAGCAGAACAGCTGATGTTTCCCTTTGTCTGGGCCCCCCAAACGCAGGGGAGACTGTGATTGAGTCACTGAGTGAGAGGGCACAGCTAGGTTCCCAAGATGGGATCTGCTGTGGGCAGGCCCCAGCCTGTTTCAGACCTGAGCACAGCATCGTCCTGATAGGTGCAGTGAGCCCCAGGAGTCAAGGGCAGCCCTGAGGCTGTGCATCAGGAAGGGTACAGGGGGGTCTTCAGGCATCTCATGCAGCCACATGCCAACTAATCTTAGGATTCCCCCAATCTCTTGCCAATCCTGGAAACAGCCTCTAATGCCTGCTCTGGCAGCTGGGATGGGTCTGTCAGGATGGAGGTGGTGGTGCTCAGCTGCCGGAGGGTACTCAGCACCACTGCAAGAGAGAGGAGGCAGTAATTAGCCTGGGCACAAGACTCAGAATGACAGGATGCAAACTTCACACACGCAACCCTATTTAGTGATTCCCAAACATTAAGGATGATGGCCAGAGTTCAACTATGGGGAGAATGACAGGGGCCCCATTCTGAGACCCAATCTCACATCCTGCCTATGGAGCAGGAGCAGCTGCTCCTGCTGCCAAAGTGTTGTTCTTGCTCTAATACTGAACTTCTGTAACTTTAATATATGGTTGTAGGTTTAAAACTAAATAAGAAATTAAGTAAGAAAGCACAAAATTTACCTAAAACAGAGTCTGGCAAATAACAAATATTCAATAAATGTAAGTTGGATGTGACTGACTGCAGGCCTGCTGAGAGGAGCTCAGGGACCCAGGCTGGCTCCTAGAGCTTTTCTGGTTCAATGTTGTCCTCATGCCTCTGGCCTGGCTGGCCTGGCTTTGTGCAGTAGAGTTTAAACTTTTCTAGCACCGCCCACATAAGGGTTCTTCTCCCTTCTGAACCAGCATGAAGTATCAAACTCCGGTATTCCAGACTCACTTGGCCTGAGGACAGGCAAAGAACAGTGCTGGTCCAGCCAGGAAAGCGCTGTCCGGTGAAACTCGTCCAAGCTGCTGGTAGACACCATTCCCTTGAAAGACTCGAACAGTGGCTGGATGATCATGCTGAACTACAGGACTGTGTTAAGGAAAAGGTGAGCACTGGGGAGGGCTAAGGAGACTCAGATAAAGAAGGCTTACCTGCTGACCTCCCTCAGAAATGACAAATAATTACCTAAAGAAAACTGACCAGAGAGAGGAAGGGCCAGGTCAGTTACTGCCAGGCAAGGTGTGCCCACCATGAGATTCAATGGTTTGCTCTTACTATGACTGGCCTTTGAAGAGACAGAAGACAGTTTCTTTGGCCTGTTATGGGGTAAACAATGAGGTGAACATGAGACCATAGGTTATCCAGTTACAGGAGACACGGCAGGAACATGAGAGGCACACAACACTCAAAAGCAAAGTGTCTGTCTGAAGCTGGAGCCTGACATTTGTGTTGTGCACAGCCTGCAAGCTCCCCACATCCTGCAGAGCTCCCAAAGGATTACAGGATGGGCCCAGTAGAGATAGAAATGTTTTTCTTGAATTATGATGTCTACAGTACCCACCTTAGCCTAAAAATGAGGAATGTAGCATTTCACTGAAGCATTTCTGACACATTCCACATTGGACCAGGCTCTACTTATGGCAGAATAAGACAGCAAAGCAAGCTGGGGAAGAGGTGTGCTGTCAGCCATCTCAAGTCAGGCTCTTAGGCTCCCAGATAGAGTCCTGACCTAGACAGTGTATGTGAAGCCTTGAGTCTCATTCTCAATACGAATGAAAGTAGTACAAATACACAGGCATGGTGGCACACTTAAGAGGAAGAGGATACTGTACTGCAAAGCAAGTCCTAGACCAGTCTGCACTATAAGTGAGACAGTCTCAAAAACAAACAAGCAAACAAAATACAAACAAACAGCTTCTGAAGTGCAGGACACACACACACACACACACACACACACACACACCCTTCGCCACGCTTTCCTTCTCTCCATACAACTGTGTTTGCAGGGACTGTCCTATGTTGTAGGTGACCTGTCGCATAAGCGGACCATGTTCAGAGCAGAGCTGTTGGGAAACAGATGGGCAGCAACCATCCTGTAAAGCAATGCTGCCACCTCGAAGGCTGAGATCAGAGCAGCCTTGGCCAGAAGACAGGTCCTGGCACCTGGGTGGACATGCTTTATTGTGGTACTCAAGACCAGGGGACACAAAGGCAGAGAAAAATCTGAGGGAACAGGCTTCAAACCCTACCTATAGCTACTTGGAGAGCTGGGGCAGGAGGATTGTTTGAGCTCAGGAGTTCAAGACCACCCTGGGCACCAAAGACTCTTCTCTCAAAAAACAAAACAAAGAACTATACGGTTTGGCAGGTAAGAGCGTGTACTGCTCTTGCAAAGGACTCCAGGTCAGTTCCCAGGGATTGTGTCAAGGCTCACAACAGCCTATGACTCCAGCTCCAATGGATCAATTTCCTCTCTGGACTCTGCAGGTCAGTTCCCAGGGATGGTGTCAAGGCTCACAACAGCCTATGACTCCAGCTCCAATGGATCAGTTCCCTCTCTGGACTCTGCAGGTACTTGCACTCAATACACACACTCGCACACACACACACTCACACATAATTAAAAAAATAATAATTAAAAACCCCCACAAATAAGAAGAGAAGAAGAAACAAACCACGCCACCGCATGAGGGTCTGGTCTCTCAGTAACTCAGTAAGCCCTGGTTTCTTTCCAATGTCACAGCAGGTAGGGCTCACCTTCTCTGTCACTGGCAGTCAGAAGGGTCTCCTCCTTTTCACCTTGCTGTCTCTTCAGTTATCAAGCTGCTTTTGTTTGCCAAAGTTTGGAGAGTAAAGCAGGCCATCTACCTCCCTGCCCCTTCCTGCAAAGCCTCTTGGATGTGGTCTCTCTAGCCCCGAGGGCCGGTCCAGAGTCTTCTCTCCCTGAGATAGATAGATAGATGAGACTAGCATTGCTAATCCTGAACTCTGACAACTGTGAGATTCTTTCTCCAAGGGGTGCCCGAGAACACTGTCCACTGTTTCAGTGTGTTGCCTGGGTAAGGGAAGAGCAAGGAAAACCCAAGGATACAATCCAGAATTTCCAATTCTGCAGGATCCTGCTTTTCACATATTCATCAAACATGTCTTTCATGTGGTCAGACTGGCGGCAGTTGACAGGGACTCCTGTGGCAGGTAGCAGCTGTTGGCAGGAGCTGAAACAACAGTAGTCAGGGGATGCTTTGGGGTAGGTGACTGTAGAGGAGGACCCTGGGGAACCAGACAGGCAGGACACAGCCAGATACAGGCAGAGGCCTGTGGGAGGAGGACAAGAAGCTAAACTGCTGCAATACAGGTAGCAAAGGCCACAAAGGGTCCCCTCTGCTTTTGAGACACGGAAATGCATGGGGTGGAGCACTTGAACGGAACCTCACATGATGGTAGTGTTGAGCTCCTCAATTTCTTCCCGAAGCCTCCGGGCCTCCTCTTGCATCTGCATCCGCTCCTGCTGCAGCTTGGTGATGTACTCCATGGTCTTCTGCAGTGTGATGGCATGGCTAGTCTGTAGAGGACAGGTGGCTCAGGGGAGCAGCACTTAGCTGGCCAGTGGCACACAGGAAAGATGCCCTATCACACCACCAGGACACTCTCAAGCAACTTACCTGCTTGGAATTATTGGAGATCAAACTGTTCAGGGTGTTAAAGCCCATCCTGATATTGAAACGCCTTTTCTGTTCAGCTGAGATGTGCTTCTGCCGGTTCTATTGGAGAATCAACTGGTCACTGAGACATAGGCCAGGCCTTGTTCCTCCTTACTGCACAACATAATGCTGAGAGGCTAGAGAAAGACTAGTGTCTCGGGGCACATGACAAGCCAGGCCAGAAAACTATGCAGAAGGAGAGGCAAATGGCTAAAACGCTCTAAGAGGAGTCATCAGGGAGCGGGCAGGACTCATGGGCTAGAAAGCAGTATGTGCTCTGGGCCCTGGCAGCCAGACTGACTGCTTCTCTACAACCTAGTGCCTACAATCCTGCTTCCTCCCTGCAACTGGTGTGGCCAAGGTTGCATGCACCCCTACCATGTCATAAGAACTTGCTGTTGGTTCTTGGGCCCAGAATGCCCACCCAGAGCTCTGAATAGGCCCTAATCATCGTGGGCTTGTGGTGGGATGGGAAATGGTCAGAGTTAATTTAATCTTAGTGATTCTGAGTTTGCAACACCAGCTAGATCTGTGGCTTTCCTTTCCTGATGTTTTCTTCCGCCCCATCCTACCAAGGCAATCAAGGCTCAAGAGAAATAAGCAGTACCTTTAATGCAGCCACATTTTTGGGGTCTGTAGATTTCCCTGAGCAGTTGTTCTGGGGAGACTGAGGACTGGGACTTTGTTCTGATGGGCATGGGGAGGCTTGTCCTGAGTTGGGGCAGTCACGGCCTGAGGGGGAAAAAATTCTCTTAAGAGGAAAACACTTGGGAAGGGAACTGAAAAAATAAGAAGTGAGAGTTCACTGTCCTGTCCCCACGGCAGTCCTCACCAACCAGAGGGACTCCCTGCAAGCCCTTAGGCTTGGAAGTCCTTCTATGGCTACCCCAGAGAAAATATTGAAGAAACCCTTGCCCATATCCCAAAGGGGATTTCTTGGTTCCAAAGCAACCCATGAGGCAGGCAAGTTAGATGTGGGATATGGCATGAATGCTACCCCATCCTAGGTATCCGCAATTGCTCAGAGGAGGAACTGAACTGCTAACCCAATCCTTAAAATGCCACTTCAAGGTAGCCCAGGGCCCTTAGAGGTTTGTAAGGCTCTTAACCCGTGTGCTCAGCACACTGGAGTCTGCTTTATTTCTGTGCTTTAAATTCTACATGGATATTTCCTTACTCTTTCTCTCACCCACTCTGAAAGTTAAATAAAAAGTACGACCACTTTTTGACCCACGCGGAATATACCAGAGTACTACTGTGACCCACTTGGGCTCATGTCCCTGGAAGCCATTTCCTAGGTCCACTTCACTTTATTCTAACAAATGCTGTCAGTTAATTTATTTTCTCCTAGATGACCAGGTTTCGCTTCAGTGCACATTCTGCAGTTGCATTCTGCGGTTCCCTTTCCTGGATAATCTGAGACACTTAACTCCTGTCTCTTGAGTCTGTATCTTTCCAGACTGAAGAGTCCCATTCTTCAAAACGTGCCCTTGGACAAGTCCACCCCTCTCTGCTGGAAACCCCTCTGTATCATGTCTTCCCAGGTAAGATGCTCAGATGCAACCATGGTTTCAGCAAAGAGAAGGCATTAAGGTGCAGCACAGTGACAGACTGTCTGCCTGGGATGTGCATAGATATTCTAGTTCCTTTCCCAGTATGGCACCAGAAGGAACCCAATATTGATGTTGCAGGACCTCTAGTCCCTACTTCTGAGTCTCCAAGTCACCAGGCAAAACCAGTCCTGTCCTGACTGCCCCGAGCTGTATGATATGAAGATGACCACAGATCTGCAGTGGTTTAGAAACCAGGAGATGTGGTGCGGTGATGAGCCTGCTGCTGGTTCACAGCTACAGCAGTCCCAGGCTCAAGTTTTCCAGATTGCTGACAAGAATCTTCAGTCCCTTTCTGGATGGGACTGGCAGCTCTGAGCCAGGCTTTCTGAGCGTGGTTTCCTGAATGTGCTAGCTACCCCTGCTGGGACACAACTGCCGCCCCTTGTGCCTGCTCTGCTGGTATGGCTACACTACTCTGATGCCCAGTTAGCATTTCCCCAGCCTGTGCAGACTGAGGGTTCTGTAGGCCAGGCTTGATTATGGAGCCTGTGAATGGCCTCCCCATCAGGAACAAGCTGCTTATTTCTTCCATAAAGCCCAAAGCACCCCACTCAGGAAAATACTTACTAGAGCCTGTGGCAGGGACCTGGGGACTACCCCCATGCAGTGGGACCTGCTCGCCCTTCACCAGAGAGTCTTGTACTGTACTTGGAGAGAAGAGCCGAGAGACAGGGGTAGGCTGGCTACTTGTACTGTGGCTGAGGAACTCTGTGACTCCAGAAGCCTGTGGAGACCCATGGGGGAGGTCATATACTACTGCTGCAGAGCAGTTACATTGTCTGAAAGCCACTCTAGAGTGAGGACGCTAGAGGCCTCCTAGGCTAGATCTCCTTACCCTGGTGATAGCAGCAGAAGCAATGACCACATTGGATGGGGACACAGTAGATGCCAGAATCCCTTCTCTCTTCAGAGGGGCTGATGTCATGATCACCTTTTGTGGTTGGCCTGAGAAGGCAGCTGTAGGGAGGAAGAGAGCTGAAAGTGAGGGTCTGATCCTATAGAGACCTAGCTACTACTAACAAAACTGCTGAGCTGCAGACGGCCAGGGAAACCAAGGCATCAAGGCATCTGAATTATTCTCGTACCTTTTACTTGAGTCCTACTATATCCCCTAAAAAGAGATAGATGCCCATGACCATGTATTCTCAAACCACATTTTCAAGTCTAATTCTTATTTTTATTTCCTTTAAATTTTAAATTATATTTTATTCATTTGGTGTGATGTGTATATGTGTGCAGGTATGCAAGTGTCATAGTACGTGTGTGGAAGTCAGAGAACACTTATGGAAACTGATTCTCACCTTCCACCATGTGGATCCTGGAGATCAGACTCAGGTTGTCAGACTTAGCAGCAAATGTCTTTTCTTACTGAGCCACCTTACCAGCCCAATTTTAGTTTCTTTAAATAAGGTCTCATTATATAGCCTTGGCTGGCCTGGGACTTACTATGTAACTCAGACTGGCCTCAAGTCCAAAATCTTCTTGCTTCAACCTCTCAAATGTTGGGTTTACAGGCACTTGTCACGACACCCAGATAACACTAGACTAATGTTTAAACATATAGAATAGAGAGAGCGCACATATGAACTACCATATTGCTCTGTTCCATTTAAATGTGGAGGGAGGTGTCACAAACGTAAAGCCTTTGAGGAAGGAAAACATGACTCCTTGGCAGGCTATAACCCTAATCCAACTCACCTGGAGCAATGCAGGCATTCTTCAATACCAAGGACACAGGCTCAGGTTTGGGAGCAGGCACTATTTTGGGGGGTTGCTTGGGTCTCACTCCAGTCAAGGACACAGGCTTGGGGTGTATAAAAGTTAAATGAGGCTGGGGAGCTCCCACAACTGGTGGCTGGGGTACAGGTGACAGTGCCAGACCACAAGGGGATGAAGAGGGGGCTGGGTGGTGTGCTGTGATAACAAGACCCTGGCTCTGGCTGAAGGTGGTAGCAGAAGCATCACGGGTAAGAGTAGTAGAGGCTGTGTGGGTAATTACAGGGGTTGATTTGCTGACTCCAGCAAACTTCTGAGGCTGCAGGAAAGCTGGTGGAGTTGAAGAGCTCAGAGTAGAGGCAGGAGGGGAGACTAAGGGCAATGCAGCTGGGACAGGTGCTGGGGCAGGGCCAGGGGAAAGTAAGGTCATAGTTAAGACAGGGAGGAAGGGCTGTGGGACACTCAGTGGTGGCTCAGAGGGACCAAAGTCTGCAGGTTGAATAAATGGATCCACAGTCTGGGAGGTGTGTTCACAACCCTGCCCGTCGGAGGAATTCAGGGAGGGGGCTGCAGAAGATTCAATGAGGCTACTGGGCAGGCTCACAGTGGGAAGAGCTGTATTTGGCAAGATGTTCCCCTGAGGAAGAAAGAAACACGAAGAAACAAAGATACAATTGGATAATTAGCTCTCACCGTTTAGCACTACATAACACAGAGACTAACTGTGGACATGGAGATGAAGGGACCAAGGGACAAAAGTGCTACCTCTCATGCCCAACACATTGATCTGCTGGAGAAACGGATCTGTGTTCCCTGGGTGTCAGCAGGGGTCTTGTTTCCATTAGGAACTAATGATAACACAGAGCTGGACGGAAGCCTAGGGATATCTGGTTTCCAGAGTCTGGTTAAGGTCTGCCCTCAGTCTCTGCCATCTTCTGTTACACAGTAGAAGCAGCCTAGACCACAGCTGCTCAGGGGTTCCCCCCAGGACAGCTTCAAGTATCAACTTCCAGTCAGGCTAGCTCTTCCTGAGTAGAAAAGCCATGAGGAATCACCTGTGCAGATCTCAAGTCTCTACAGAAGAAATGATTATCTGAGCTGGGTGGGGAAGGTGCCAGATTACCGGATGACTAACTGAATACATCACCAACTTGAGAGCTCCCCAGGGCAGAGAACTATGCCTTGCTCAGCTCTGTAGCCCTAACACCTGTAATTATCTTTAATTAATTGCTACATAAAAATAAAAACCATATACTTTTTCATTGTTGTTGTTTTCGAGACAGGGTTTCTCTGTGTGTGGCTTTGGGTGTCCTGGAACTCTGTAAACCAGGCTGGCCTTGAACTCACAGAGATCCACCTGCCTCTGCCTCCCAAGTGCTGGGATTAAAGGTGTGCACCATCACCCTTCAGTTTACACAATATATTTGTATTAGTGATCCATGCTTTTTCTTCTATAACTAATCTTGTCTTGGAAAAGAGCTGGCTAGAGACTGGAGAGATGGTTCAAGGGTTAAAAAACACTAGTTAGTCTTCAAGAGGACCCACGTTCAATTCCCAGAACCCACATGGCAGCTCACAACTGTAAGTCTAGTTCCAGGGACCTGACATCTTCACACAGGCATACATGCAAGCAAAACACCAAAGAAGATGAGAGAGAGAGAGAGAGAGAGAGAGAGAGAGAAAGAGAGAGAGAGAAGGAAATAAAGAAAAGAGCTGGCTGGACAAAGATTACGTGGGGCCTTAGGAAAATGACTTTGTTGGTATAGTCTCCCACCTTGTGGGAAGCTAAGGATGCTTTCAAAGAGGGTTCCATAATTTCTTTGCATATTCACATGCATTCAGTACTGGATCCAGCAATGGTCCCAGCGTGTTGTCAATTTATGGTCACAGCATTACCCTAGCTCTGGCGGTAAAGTCGGATGATAGCCCTGTATCTGCCATGCCTGCCTGCTCCCCCAGCTTCCTCTACCTGAGAAGGTGGGCTGCTGGGATCTGGGGCAGGTATTGACGGAGGTGTAGGCAGCATGGAGCCAAAAATGGATCGGCTGGAAGAGAAGAGATCTGAAAAAGAACATGGGAGTCTTTAAGTCCGTGAGCTTACCATTTGCTGGAATTATGACACATAGACAGGGGCCTGACTCCCACCCTATCCCTCCTAAAGATAATTTTTTCTATAGACAGACGATTCTGGTTGAACCATTTGGAATACCAGGTGTTTCGGGCCTGGAGAACGGCAGAGCTCAAGGAGCTGACCAAACTTTACTGGGAAGTGGCTGTGTCATAGCGCTCTCTGCTGTCCACATAAGGAACTGCCCACAGTCAAGGCCTAGGCGATGCTCCCAGCAGGAATAAAACACTAACACCCTCTCTGAGAATGCCAACTCCCTTCAAATGTCTCAGAAAGCTTTTCCAGGCTTTGCAGTTACTATCAGAAAAAAAAAAAATCAGTTTTGAAAAATTCCAAGCCTTTCCTTTACACCCATTTTCAACTGTCCTCTCTACAAAAGGGGCACCAGTCTGATATGGGAGGGGCAAGAGCTACTCTCACCCTGGAAAGGCTCAAAGGTGTCCATGAAGTCCAGGTTGGGTTGCAAAGGGATCAGGCCTGGCTGGATCATGTCTGCATTTCCCAAATGTGCTGCAAGAATTACAAGTTAGAGAAGGGAATGATTTTTACCTCAAATAAGGTCAAAGGAAAACAAACAATTAGTTCTGGAACCTTCTAAGAACTGTAGGAAGTTGCCTGAGATTTCTACATTCTTAGGGGTTTGTGGCCATTCTTAGATAGCTATGTCCTCTCTACCCTCAGGAGACAGAAAAGACAGGCAGTACTGGGATCACCATGAAGCTAGGCACACCCACTCTACATCCCCACAGCCCTCTGGCCCTGCTCTCACTGTCCATCTGTGGCTCTGTCCTGAGGACCTACAAGACTGATGGTCTCCAGGTGGGATGTCACTTCCTGCACTACAAGAACAGTATCAGAAACACAGACGGGGTCAGATCAGAGCCTGCTGACCTCTCACAGTGGGACTAAAAGAACAGTAGTCACCCCTGTAAGGCTCCATCTCTAGTCTCTTCCCATGCAACTGCACAGGACCCCAGACAAGGCGCTTGGGCAATCCTTCTTTTTTCCCTTGCGTAGTCTAAATAAGTGCCAAGCAACAGCTCAGAGGTGCCCTGATTAAAGCCTGGCCTAGAGGAATCTTCACAGAAAAGGAATCCAGTTGTCCAAGGACAGAGACTAGTTACCTATTTCCCGTGGGTTGGGCCAGGCCACCGGTTGGTGTGAAGAAAGTGTGGAGAAGAGGGTGTCACTGAATTCTGACATGAGCATATCTGTGTCCAGCAGTGAGTCCTCCTCCATGGGGACTGGAGTTTTCCAGCCATCTCCATGTTTATGCCAATAGAGCATGTCATCATCCTAGCCAACAGGGGAAAAAGACTCAAAGCAGTTGGACTTACTATCCTCAGTCCTGGCATGCATGAAAGGGGCATGCTTCCTAAGAGGCAAAGGCAGAGAGTGTGCCTGTTTTCTTGGCCACCTGCAGGACCTCCACCTGAGAAGGAGCTGTCCCAAGTCTGGCCTTCTACTATAGGACTCTCTTGGGGCACAGAAGTCACTGCTGCATCCTGACAAGATGCAGGGCTCTCAAGCTCACTTACCTGGGCCAGACTAGAGAGGTCCTCATCCTTGTGTTGTTGTAGCTGTGGGCAAAGGGAGCAAGATGAGGCAGCCACCAAGAACCCTGGAACGCCCCAACTTCCCCTCCTTACATGTGAGTGAACTATATGGGAAGCGAGTTGGGAATGGGATTCTATTGGCCATCATCCCCTGAATGTGGGCCCAAAGAAGAAAATAACCCTATTCATGGCTGAGGAAACCATAGTCACTGTTTGGTGTTAAGTACAATATTCCCACACCATGCTCCGTGACTGTGGGGTAGTTGTGGAGTCTAGGGCCTCAGACTACATTCTGAATACATTTCCACCTCCTGCCTACCCAGCCCCAACCCTGCCCCCAGAGCTTCCAGAACATGTTCTTTTGAGAGCCCTTGCCAATATCTACCCTTTTCTTGAAGTAGGTTCTCCACTTGTGATATTCCCGGATCACAATCTCAATGCGACTTTTCCAGTATTTGCCCTCTGTGGTGATGGCCTATAACCGAGAGGCCAAAATGAAAATCAGGTCTTGGATGATGATCAGATCTCAGCCCATGACCACCCAGTACCCATTACTAAAGTGGCCTCAGAAGGTTCTCCTGGTCAGAAGGCTTCAATTACTGGCACACCTCTTCTCTTCTGAGCTACAACTTGAACTCAGGCTAAAAATGTATCTTTGCTTCAACACCCACGACACCAACGGTGACTCTGCACTGGGTACAGGGTAATCACACAGCACTCAGAGGAGGCAGAGAGCATTCCTCCTTGCCTGAGGATGCTAAGGAAACTCACACATGGCCCACCAATACCCCTCTCTGCCATGCTCTCAGAGAGTGAAAATCAGGGCTGGTGAGATGGTTCAGTGGGTAAAGGCACCTGCTGTCAAGGCTGATGACCTGAATTCAATCCTTGGGATTCACATGATGAAAAATAAGTACTCTCAGAAGTTGTCCTCTGACCTCTACACAAATGCTGTGACTCACACAAATAAATAAATCTAATTTAAAATTTTTTAATTAGTTTTTTGGTGCAGGAGGTATATCTCAATGGTTAAACACTTGCCTGGCATGTAAGAGGCCCTGGATTCTATCCTTAGTACCAAAATAATAAAAAATATATATATATATAAAGCCACTTTTTCTTCAACCTCTTTTCATCCCCTATAAGTTTTTTGTTTGTTTGTTTGTCACCCCCCCCCAAAGACAGGGTCTCATGTAGCTCAGGCTGGCCTCAAACTCCCTGTATATCAAGAATGACCTTAAAATTCTGATTTCCCTGCCTCTACCTCTCACATGCTGGAATTGCAGGCTTCTGACACCACGCTCAGTTTATGTGGTACTGGAGATGGCAGTCAGGGCTTGGTGCATGCTAGGAGAGTACTGCCCCAGCTGGCTGCACCTGCAGTGAGAGCTGAAGGACACTGAGTTCTCTCTGACATTCTGGAGAGGTGGTTTTGCTTGTGGTACTAGGGATGACCCAGAGCATGAGTATGTGCCTTCTTTTGCTACACAGTCAGCTTTCCCTGAGTAACCCTCAGAAGAAAGCAGAGAATGAAGCCCTATAAGGTCAGTCTGTCTAAGATAGAATCTTCTGGAGGCCACTGCTCCTTCTCAAGGTCATGTCAACTACTAGCACAGGCTCCTCTATTCCCTGCGGTTTCTCCTGTAGAATTTGGTCCTTTGGTGGGTTGTTTCTCGAGAAATGAAGACAGGCTTCCTTTCCCACACCCTCTGCTCAGCCTCTTGCTGGGTAAGTACCTCTGGCCGGCGGTGCTCGTCGGCATCAACAGAGCCATCTAGCGGAGTGACAAAGTGGCACACAGGATTCTTGCGTTTCTCCAAGTCTGGTTGGGGAGAAGAGAGACGTTGTAACTACACCAAGACCGCTGAAGGAGCTCTACCCAAAATACTACACACTGGAGAAATGCAGAGCTCTGAGAACTGAAAGCATGCAGGCCCAAGGCAAAGGATGTCAGTAATATCTAAGAAATGAAGCTGCTCGTCCATACAAGGCAGCTAGCGAGTAGGAAAGTCCAGCCCGCTCCTCAAACCCACATCCTCCCATCCTCAAGCTAGGCCAGGAATAAGGGCTCTACAGTGGCATTCTTAACCTGCTAGAAGCAGAAGCTGCTCTTTGGCTCTTCAGGTGTCACCTTTTGGCTACATTCTCCCAACTCTCCTGAAAAGAACCCCGCATGCACTACACACTATGGTCAGGGTCTCACATGTCTGTTCCTCCAGACTCTGGGCTCTGTCGGCTGACTCTGCCTGATGGCTGGTGAATGTCCTGGTTCCTGGGATCTATTATCACTTGGTTTCCTATCACAGACTGCTAAGGAAATATTTTGCTGCAAACATCTTTTAAGAGCAGGCTATAGATCCGAGGTACTCAGGCCTCCAAGATGCAGAGCTCTGATCCCACAGAATTGAGGCCCTTGTGGCATAGTACATCCACTGCCAGGCTGGCAACACACTTACACTGCATGTACCATGCCCGCCAGATGGCGTTGTTGAGCCGGATCTTGTCCCGCCACTGGAGCTTCAGGCCCTTGAAGTTTTTCCACTTTGGAGACACTAATTTCCCACTGGAAAGCAAGACAAAGAGGAGAGAGTCAGTAGGTCTTCAGAAGTAAAAGTGAGACCCAATCATTCCAGACTCAAGAACCCTTGGTTGATCCATTACAGGAGAAGCCTGACCAACACAGTCACTCCAGGATTTCCTTAGAGCGTACGGGGAGAGGCTTAGAGGACATGCTGCAATGGGTGATCAGACGTGGATACTTTGGGCTCTTGCTTACCCTTAAAGTTTCTCATAATTAAATATTTAAAAGGCACATTAGTAGGTGTGTTGGCATACATCTTTAATCCCAATACTCAGGAGATAGAGGCAGAGGACTGTGAATTCAAAGACAGCCTAGACTAACATCAATTGACTATGGAAACCAGGCACTCTTTACCAGGTCTTGGCCCACTTCTTTTCTTCTCAGTCACCACTGGCCCATCTCAAGCCATCTGAAGTGATTCTTCTCAGCTGCTCGGAGGTAGCTGCTGGTACAGCACCTGGGAAACTGAACCACTATGATGGCTGTGCCACCAGAGAGCTCATGTTGCCGGTTATTAGCCTGGTCTGTGAGTGCTTTCAATTTACTGTACAGAGCTTTTTTAAATTTATTTTTAAATTTGTGTGTGTGAGAGACAGAGAGACTTATGTGTGGGTACCCACGAAGGCCAGAAGAGGGCTTTAGATCTTCTGAAACTGTAGTTATAGGTTGCTGTGAGCTTCCTGATATGAGTGCTGGGAACTGAACTTGGGTCTTCTGAAAGAGCATCATGTGCTCTTAACCACTGAGTCATCTCCCCAGTAACTAATTCTAGAAGAATTTTGAGGCATACTCTTACAATTAAAGATAGCACTAATAGGGGCTTTGAGACCAGTCTTGAGATGTCCACCCCTCTTTGCTCTGTGTCTGACACACATGCGCCTTCCTCTTTAAAGAACTCTTCCTATGGCCCAGCTCCCCCTTCAGACACTGCTTTAACACCATCTGCTTTGGGCCAGTGCTGGCCTCTCCGAAGCAGCTCCTTCTGAGGGCTTGAGACAGTAAGGCACTATTTTTACTTCATATGGGTGTTGAGGAGCATCTCTCTGATGGCAGGTCACAGCCCTGTTCCTTCTTCAAACTTACTCAGAAAGAACACATGAGTAGCAGAGATGTGCCTAGTTATGGAAGCTCAAGTATTTAAAGAGGGGTCTGAGCAAGACATTAAGTAAACTTGGAAGCTTAATATACAAGGAAAGCTTCCTGCTGAACGCCTGGCAGAACTTTTCATTGCTTTCTACCACACCTTCAGGGCTCAGGCTTTGGATAATGTCAGATGAAAGCTGTGTCCCTGGAGCTCAAAGATAGCTCAGCCACGAAAGAGTAATAGCTGCTGTTCCTGCAGAGGACCAGTGTTAAGTTTACAGGACCCACGTGATGGCTTACAACAGCTTGTTACTCCAGTTTCAGGGGATTGGATGGCCTCTCTCTGGCTTCCATAGACACCAGACATACAATGCATTTACAAATATACACATAATTTATACATTAAAAATAAATACTTTTGATAAAAAGAAAAGAGAACTGTGACCCACTCCTAGAAAATGTCACAGCACATCCTCTTTCTTTCTCCTTTTCTTTCTTTTCTTTCTTTTCTTCTTCTTCTTCTTCTTTTTTTTTTTTTTGGTTTTTCGAGACAGGGTTTCTCTGTGTAGTCCTGGCTGTTCTGAAACTCACTCTGTAGACCAGGTTGGCCTCAGAGGTCTGCCTGCCTCTGCCTCCTAAGTGCTGGGATTTAGGGTGTGCACCACCACTATCCAGGGAGCACAATTTTCTTAGTATCTGGGAGACACAATGACAGCAGTCCCTCCCAAAGGGTCAGGAGCTTCTGAAGCGTCTCTCTGCTCCCTCTTCTTCCAGCCGCCACTCCAAAGGCATATCTAACCCACCCTCTGGAACTGATCAGCTCCATCTGTGACGTTAAGGCCATAGCTGGGCCTTACAGGTCTGGAGCTTTCACTGCCTCTGGCCCATTGCTGCACATCTATGTTGGCAAAGAGGTGTTCTAGTGCTTCTGTTTGCTGGGTAAAAATCACAATAACGTACTTCCTCCACAGTATTTTTAATAATATTTGGATGAGGGTGTGTCTGCACATGTAAACATGGGGATGCATGTAAAAGAGGAAGACTCTTTGTGCTTACTTCAGTCTTAGGAACACAGGACACCTGAGGAAGGTGGCCCTACTATACATGGAAGCAGCGACAGAGCCATGGGCTTTCCATTTACTCAGCCAACAAGTGTTAAATACCTACTCTGTGAGTAAAGACCTACGGACTGAGGAAGGATGCAGGTGAGGAACAGGCCCATGCCATCTCAGGTCCTGTGTGAAAGAAGACCAATGCAAGGGCTAAAACCTAAGCTAAGGCCAAGAAAAAGAAGTGCATCGCTGTTCCCGCTGGCTCATAACACAAATGGACCTAGCAGAGATGGAAGATCCTTGTGGGGCCAGTGCAGACAAGACTGCAGGCAGAGGACAAGAGTTATTAGCTCAACAAAGTAATCCTCCTTCCCAGCCTGTGCAAGGTCCTCCAGCAATTCCTGGCCTGGCTGGCATGCAGTTCTATTACGCAAAGAAATTAAGGAGCTAAACTAAATTAAACTAAACTAAAAACTCCTTTGCTCTATCTGAAACTCCTTCCTGGTGAAGCCTAGGATTCCAGGCTTGTGCCATGTGCTCAGCAGTACCAGAATCTGACTGAGTACTAACTACTTCAGAGACATTTGCAAAAGAGCTGGATGGAACCATGGACCCAGGAAGAAACAGATGCTAGGGCCTTGTCAATATCCGTGAGGAGTTAATCACCGAGTTGACCTATGCCAATCTAACCTCTGCTGTGTACCTAAGAAAAAGAGGGCCAGTGTGCTATGACAGCCTCTTTTCCACCAGACTACATAGCATCTTCAAGGAGGTATCATGATGGGAGTAGAAGATATATAGAGAAAGATATTGAACTATAAACAGTGTGAGGGTTTCTTGGTTCTTCCCCACTGTTTACTGAGACATTTCTCTTGTTCAAGATACTTATGGCAAATACAGGAAAACTTCAGCAGGAACACACAATTTCTAAATGTCTACCATCACTGAAAATTTCTGTAATATCTCTACACCCAGCAGATGGCGGTATAGACACATAAAGAAACTAGTCAAAAACCTGCCTGGTCCACATAGCTACACAATATCGAAGGTTACAAAAAGTGAAGAAAGTAGGGGACTATAGCCCAGTGGTAGAAGTACTATAAATTTCTGTCAGTTTCTTTCCTACTGAGCTCTTTGGCACCTCACAGAAGGAAGAGGAGCTTTCTATACAAGAGTCCTTCTCATACCACAAGTCTCGTTTCCCACAAAACTAGGAAAAGCTGCTTTAAAAGACTCCATGAGGCAGCTGCAGGTCAATCACCCCTGAGAGAACACCAAAAGCAGGGCACCCAGAAGTCTCTCCAATTAGACTTCTGTTTCCCACGCTCACCTATATCTTTCAGATAGTCCAAACATAAGCCTTCCTCAAAAACATAATCAGAAATACTAAAGAAAATAAATAAGATCCTCTCCCTAGTATCTGGAAGCTTCTTCTAGCCCATACTTCTGAACTTTGTCCTCGTGTCACAGCCATGGTTCCAAGGAACTCGCACCAGGTACTTAGCCCCGCCCCCAACCTATGAAAAGGCCTGGTCTAGCTCTGACTCATCTTGGGGCTGCTGGCCCAGTGCAGACATGGAGGTGCTTTCTTCATACACTCTGCCGTGCCCCTTCCTAGAAGGAGGGTTCCTGACACCAAAGAAGTTCACAGAACAGCAAAGGCCAGTCTTAAACTTCTGCTGTACAGAACTAGCAAACCATGAATTCTTCAAAGGTCTGGCAAGAGACTGCTTTAGAATGAAAACTAAAGTGCATGCCTCAAAAAGAAGGCACTAAATAATCAAGAAAACAGGGAGGGTGGGAGTGGGTCATGGATTCTGCTTGCCGAGGTAGAATTAGACACTGATTCTTGCTCAAGCCTTCTCTCCAAAAAGGAAGCAAGCAGAGGGAATACAGGCTACCAATTATAGTTCTGGGTCCATTCATCTGTTCAACCAAATTTCATTACTTTACTCTTCCTGATGTTTCCAGGAGGACTACCCACTGGTAAAACACCCCAACCCTGCCTCACTCACTGGAGTGGGCATCTCCAGCATAAAAGGAACCAGGCGGAGATGGTCAGGTTTGACCTCTCCTTTCCTGCCCATACTCACCCTGCTGGACAAAAAACACACAACCAACTAACCAACCAAACAACTAACCAACCAACCAACCAACCAGCTGGTAACTAGTTTACAATCCACTCCCAGTGTGACTAGCAATGAAGGGAATACTTTAACCATCATCTGGTAGCTCATTTTATTTATTCACTAGTTTTTTTTTTTTCTTTGAAGCCTGCAGGATTAAGTACAAGTCTGAATACTCAATATGAGATTTTCAGTTCCCACCTTTTCCTATTTTCCTGAAAATCAATGGGCAGGCTTCACCAATACTGCTCTGGAGAAGCTGGGCGCTTCCAGAGGAAAAGTCCTGCAGAATTTGATACTTGACTCAGCCCCAGGAATGAGTTATTTGCCTATTCTGCCTGTTACCCTAAGAGGGTACACCACCACCATCCGGCTTAGTTAGGGTTTCTAATGCTGTGAGACACTATGGCCACAGCAACTCTTATAAAGGAAAACATTTAACTGGACTAAACCTCTGAACTGTAAGCTTAGGTGGGTCTCTGTGTATCCCCAGTTAAATTCATAGGCTTCACAACACACATGTGAGTAGAATCACACTTTCTGCTCTGTCATGAGTATCCTATCTAGGGTGATAAATGTTTGTTTACATCTCCCAGGAAAGGCCACACAACATATGCCAGACTGCATTCTGTTTATCCATTCACCTGCTAATAAATGGATATCTCAATAGCTTTGAGATGCTGTAACAGTGCTGCCAGAAACAGACAAAGCTACGAGGTGT